AGGAGAAAGACAATAGCAAGTAAACAAATACATGCACCAGACAATTTCAGCTAGTGATGTGTACTTTCAGACTATATAAGAGTTCAGAAATTCACTTTTCCCCAAGCATGCCATTCATGCATTCATTCATACAATAATTTTGAATACCCACTATGTAGAAGGTGATCTATACATATCAGGCAGAATGGTGAATGGATGTAGGTTCCATCCTAATGGAATATTCTAATGGAGGGAACAGATAAACATATATACATAGAAATGGATAACATGATTTCAGATAGTAAAAAATGCTATCATTGAAATACCCTATTCTCCTTCCCCTGCACATTTGCACTTTCATTTTATTCATTCTTTTATTCAGAAAGTCCAGTAAGGCTTTATTGAGTGCTCACTGTGTGTCAGGCAAAGTGCTAACTTATCACACTGTTTATAGTGCAGAACCCAGATTTCACTTCTGTATCTTCACTCTAGTGAAGGAAACAACTAAAATGAATAAACACCATACATGGTGGTAAGTGTTCTGAGAAAGGACAGACAAGATTCTTGGAGAGCACATAGCAGGGGTATCACTGCTGTTCCCTGGGTCTAGGACACCTCCCCCCACCCCCACCCAACCCCCGCCACTTCCCCTTTACTGGGAACTCTCATACTCATCCTTCTGGATCTCACCATGGATGTCTCCTCTTGAAGTAACAGTTTCAGGTGTATAGGAAGTAGGTGCTTAACAAACACAAATGTTTGTCTGTTTTTATTTACTTATATAATAGTATCATTTTTAAAAATTTATTTATTTATTTATTTTGAGAGAGAGAGAGAGAGAGAGAGAGAGAGAGAGAGAGCGAGAGAATCCCAAGCAGGCTCCATGCTGTCAGTGCAGAGCCCAATGCAGGACTCATTCTTACAAACCATGAGATCCATGAGACCTGAGCCTAAATTAAAAGTCGGACACTCAACCCACTGAGCTATCCAGGTGCCCCTATAATAGTCATTTTAATATTATATGGTACTTTCTCAACTTACCCAACAGATGGATGTTTATTATCCGAAGTGAGTCAATTCACATTACTGAATAACATGGGCATTATGATTACATTTTAGCAAAAGCAAACAAGCACAACCCCTCTATATGTGTGTGTAAGTTATTGTATCTATTTGTATAGGCAAAGAGAAAGGTGTAGAAGAATATATATCAGGCTGTTAGCAGAGAGCAAACGATCAGCTTTGGCTTCTGCATCTTTGTGCTAATAAATACTCATGGAATGGACAAACAAGGACTGCTAATAATGTTTAGATAATGGGGACACCTGTAAGGTAGTGAGCATCCACTGACCCTTAAGGACTGAGTGGATTTCATCTTGCTCAAATCATAGTCTTCTGTTTGTGTTTTATTTTAGCTACATGTTGACATCTGGTTAACCTAGATGGTTTCATAAGTGAATTAAAGACCAAGAGAGCATAAATAATCAATTTCTGTACTGTATCCAACTTGCTTAATAGATTCTTATGCCATAATTTCCTCTTCTGCAAATTAGGAATAATAGACTTTCTGTAAGAATAACACAATTAGACTGGGTAAAAGGCACTTACATTCATAAAGTACCAAAGAATTGTTGAGTACAAGTGAAAACTCTCTAATTTTTCTTTTGTGACATCCATGCTGATTATGTGCCAGAAAAATCTATGTATTATAAAGCAATGCTATAATCCACCTTAAAGTTGAATGTGTTTGAACAAATGTCACCTTTTCCCATAACCTTTAAAATGCAATCTTTTTCCGTTCTGAGTCTGGACATTAAGTGGGAATCTGTGGAGGAAGAGCCAAATTCCCAGGCTATTCCTCATAAAGAAGCTTTTTCGTGAGTTTGTGTAGTGGCTAGACTATATCTTTGGACTTCCTATAACCAATGCTGAGTCATTAGAGCAATTAGAGCAAACACTCAAAAGAGACTTCAGAGAGCCATCACCCAAGCTTATAGATTACTATAAGTGTACACAACTTGGACAAGTATCTGAGATGGCCTTTGAGGATGAAGGGGAAGACAAATGCTTTCCAAAACTGTATAGATTCTGTAGATTTTCCATACAGACCATAGTTACATTACTTTTTTTTAACGTTTATTTATTTTGAGGAAGAAAGGGAACAGGAGTGGGGGAGGGGGCAGAGAGAGAGAGAGAGAGGGACAGAGAATCCCAAGCAGGTTCTGCTCTGTCACCATGGAGCCTGATGTGGGGCTCTATCCCACAAACTGTGAGATCATGACCTGAGCCCAAGAGTCAGACGCTTAACCAACTGAGCCACCCAGGCACCCCTACATTACTTCTTATTTCTCCCTAATAGCAGAGTATAGACGTAGCCTCACCTTATGATACGAAAGCAGCCTCCTTTCTCCTATCTTTGACTTCACCTCTGTTGCATTCACTCATACTCAGCCTATGTCCATTGGCCATTTCCTCCATGCAAGAAATCAGTAAAGAAAGAAGACAGAGAGACTAAGAGGTGCCTTATTTCTCATTTACATTCTCTGTTCTCAACAGTGCCACCCCAATAGTCAGATTGTGTTTTCTTCATTATAAGCTTTATCTTGATTCAATTTTTTTCGTCTATAACATGAAGGAAATGATGAGATCTGACTTATATTGCTATTTCAAGAATTTAATAAGATAATTAATATAAAATACTTAGAACATTGCCTTGAACAGGGATCACTCATTAAATCAAAGCTACAATGATTATTAGCAATATTAGTACTGATCAATTGTCATTCCACCTTATTTTGTCTTAGTAAGGATAGGGTATGTTTAGAGTTCTGACAAATGTGAAGAAATGCGAAAGTAAGAAATAATTAATCAGCCGTATAGCTATGTTAAAGAAAATCTCACGAGCAGCCCAAATTTCACTCCCTGCTTGTGTGCACTAGTCAAATAAGGAATTATTCCATTAGATGCATCACTGGAAACCTGAAGTAGTGTGATATCCCTGCCTTGTTATTTGTGTGGGCAGAACTCTTTAATACCTTCTCTCGAGATGGCAGAGTATCATTTTCTGTTTCTTGTCTCTTCTTGTTTCCGTCTCATGTATACTTATCTTTCGTAACTGAAATTATTCAGCTCTTCCAAGCACAGGCTTAGAATATACAGACCTAAGGTTGCAAGGCCAAGATGAACAATTCAGCTTCCCACCCTCCTCTGCCCCCCCCCCCCCCGAATATTGGGACCTGAGAGCGACTGCAAAGGGCTAGAACTTGGATAGATAGAAGCCTTGTATCACATGGGCTGCTTAAATATTCATGCAGCCTCTTCTGGCAGCTAACAGGGCTGCAAACTTTGCCCAGGAAAAAAAAAAAAAAAAAGGCGGGGTGGAGGGGGGGAGATAATTACTGGATTTCATAGCATTCTGAAATGGCTGCTGTGAAGTAAAAACTTAAGCGCTGATGTTTGGTTTAATCTCTTAGGCAAGTGTATTTTTTTTATTCAACACAGAACAATAGGCAAGTGATTAAATGCATCTCTAAGTATTTTTTCTGAGTATATCATCAGTGTTAGATACCCACTGACATCAACAACATAACAATGTATTGTACTGTAAAAGCTACCTCCTTTATAATTACTTTACTAATGACTTGATGTATCAACTGACACACTTCCTGTGCAGTCAACAGCTTTGCTTATGTAGTAACACAAAGTTTAAATTATCAGCAATTGAGCTATACAATAAATAAGAATGAAAGAAAGACAAAATTATTCTTGAGTGTGGTGACTTTTGGAACTTGAGGACATTTCATTTAGTGCAGTCAGTTGGCACTATATGCTCTTCATTAGCATATGTGAAGACACCAAAAACGCAGGTATCTATTAATTGTTTTGTTTGTTTTAAGGAGACATTTCCCCGGTTGTAATTAAGTTCCTTTCTTGTCCTAATTCTGGCTGATAAAATTTAATTAAAACAAAGTAATTCCACAATTTCTAATAACAACATAAGAGCAAACACTGGCCCTACACTGAGCCTTAAATTCCTTCTTCAACGTACTGTCTAGACATTTAGTGAAAATCAACCTTATTTTATTTTTTATAGCTACATTCACAAGTTCTGAATTATCAATTATGCATCATCCCAATACAGCATACAAAAATGTAAGCATTAAAAATACTTGTTCATCAGTTTGCCCCTTCTAACAGTAGTGATCTAAGATGTAAATTCACATAAAACAATAGTTACATTAATCATTAAATATTAATAGTTTAATAGGTACATTGAAAATTTTAAAAAATCACTTGGAATATGAGTGTTGAGTGTTTCTAGATGATTAATATTACATAAGAATTGACCATTAGTAAATATCAGGTTAAGTAAAATGAAATAATCACCATTCCTTTTTTTAAAAATATTTTTTAACATTTATTTATTTCTTGAGAGACAGAGAGAAACAGAATGTGAGTGGGGGAGGGGCAGAGAGAGAGAGGGAGACACAGAATCCGATGCAGGCTCCAGGCTCTGAACTGACAGCACAGAGTCCGACATGGGTCTTGAACTCATGGACCATGAGATCATGACCTGAGCCGAAATCAGATACTTAACTGACTGAGCCACCCAGGTGCCCCGGCCATTCCTTTTTTTTTTTTTTTTTTTAAGAGAGAAAGAGAGACAGAGTATGAGTGGGGGAGGGGCAGAGAGAGAGATAGGGAGAATCTGAAGCAGGCTCCAGTCTCTGAGCTGTCAGCACAGAGCCCAGCACGGGGCTTGAACTCATGAACTACAAGGTATGACCTGAGCCGAAGTCAGATGCTTAACCAACTGAGCCACCCAAGCACCCCAAATAATCACCATTCTTAAGTTTTACTTCTGTGAAACTTCCTTCAAAAAATTCATAAACTGTAGTTAATTATTTGGATCATGCAGGCCTAGATATGTCTGTAAATATATATGTGTACATACACATATATCAGATGTATATCATAAAAAGACCTTCATGAAAAGTTATGTTTTTCATTTAATGTTTCAGATGTACATCACCAACACAATCAAAGCCAAAGGAACAAGACTTGCTAAGCCCGTTTTATGTTTGGGCTTAATGTGTTTGGCCTTTCTTACTGGACTCAACAGAGTAGCAGAATATCGAAATCATTGGTCCGATGTGATAGCAGGCTTTCTGGTTGGAATATCTATAGCAGTATTTCTGGTAAGTAGAACTTTATTTGGATTTTATTGCATTTTTAATGAACCTTCTATAATCATCTACGACAATACCAGTGTGAATCACCGGGTTTGTCTAAATGTGGTAGGTCAAATTATAATATGTACATTTGAAGTCATTCATTTCTTCCTCCTCCCTCATTTGTCCTGCCTAAAGTCAAATTTGGAGATGAAGAATATATAAATTCTGCACCTAAAGGTGAACAAAATATTTTCATATAAAATGGAATGGGGCTAAAATGTTCAGTCCTCCTTGGGTACTTTTTAAGATTGGATTGCTTGGATATTTTAAAATTTCCTCAGGCCGCTTTTCATCCCGGAGTATCTAGAGCATCCCAAAGTGCCCCCAGGGTCCCAGCACAGTCTTCTCCTTGAACTGCCATGTCACAGCACTTGGTAACAGGTAAACCTTGTTTGAGAGATGAATTGGTTCCCTTCAGTAACTAGAAGTCCATGGGTGGTTTCCAAAACAGTACCATCTCAAGCCAGATTTTGTCAAGTAGTAAAGAGACTATGTAGTGATTTCTAATGAAATAAGCATGCCATCTCTACTCCTATTATAAAATCTCCTTGGAATATGACTATAGGTTTTGGTTGTTGGAAAATACATTTTAGTCCGGCTTTAGAAATAACTAATCTGTTATGAGTGTATAACATTTAACCCAGAGGGAAAATGTGTAGACTATAAATCAAAACATATTTTGGCATTGACGCATTATAATAGAAAAAAAAACCCACTTTATTTCCATTTTGATTACATTTAAATTGCTTCTCGCGCTTAACTTCTCTTCTTCAGCTCCTTTCCCTAGTGTAGAACCAGTAAGCAAAAACTCGTATGAACCTTTCCAGCTAACAATTTTGTGAGCCAGGCATTTTAAGCAGTTCTTTTCTGTAGAACCTCCTGTGGTTAGAGTGGTGAGTATGACCTCATCTCTGCCCCACACTCTGTGCTACTTCTCTTCCTGATGTCACCCCCTCTGGTTCCCCAGGTACCTGGGAGACTCAGGCCCACCCCAGTCTCTCTCTCAGAGATATCCTTTAGCCTCAGGAAAACTGGGGCCCAGACTTGGTCCAGAGCCTTTTCCTTGCTTTCACTCACCACAGTTTGAAACAGATTGAAACATTTAAAACAAAATAAAACCAGACCAACACCTTACATAAATCCTATGAAAAGAAATAACCAAACATCAAAATTTCAAAACACTAGTGTCACATGTAACTGCATTTCAGCCTCATGAGTCCAGAGAATCTTCACTGGCATCAATCTTCCTGCTTTATCTTCCTGTGGCTGTTGCCAACTTCCCTTTACTTCCAGTGACTATATTAACACCTTGCAAGACCAAATCTAGAACCCTAGTCACTTCCTCATCTGAGAAGCATGTGATGAACAAGTTGGACTGTGGATCCCCTTGGGCTCAAAACCCGCCTACTGCACATATTCAGAGTGTTCCATAATGGCCCTTCAGACATCCCCATACACCTAGACAATGAACTTATGAAAAGGTCATGTGAAAATAATGCTTTAACTGTAGTAACTAAAAAACACTTGTTCCTTCATGCACAACCACTTCTGAGTGTGTCTACAGGTGTGAAGTCCTGTGCTAAGAACTGGGGGTGCAAGGAGGCTCAGATAAACACGATCTATTTCCTGTGGGAGTTACAGTCTGGTTCAGGGGCAGCCAGTAATAAGTTATTTCATCAAATATTCCCTTCCTCTTTTCCTTCATAGCATAAACATTTACTGAACCCTTGTTATAATGCAGGCACTGTGCTTGGTGCTGGGAATAAGTACATGAGAAATTTAGAGCCCATGTACTTAAAGAGATCACAATTGGGTGGAACAAGATAGACACAGAGGGTTTTATAGAGGGTTAAATGTAATGACATCAGTGTGTATACTCGAGAGATCTCTTTTGGGATTAGGGATAGTTAGAAAAGGGAGGTGATACATAAACTTGAAAGGTCTGGGTGGCTCAGTCAGTTAAGCATCCAGCTCTTGATTTCGGCTCAGGTTATGATCTTGTGGTTCATGGGATCAAGTCCTGAGTCTTGATGCTTGGGATTTTTTCTCTAGCTCTCTCTACCCTCCAACCCTCGCTTGCACATGTGCACACACATGCATGTTCTTTCTCTCAAAATAAAGAAATAAACACTTTTTTTTTTTAAAAAGAAAGCTTTGTAGAGAGGTCTAAACGATGGCATAAGGAATGATGGGCAAAAAGCACAGTGCATAGAAGCAATATAAAATGCTTCATAAAAGAGGCATTTATGGAGCTATTAGTCAGTTGTAGGCCTGGACACAGCATGTACATGAGAGGAGGTGGCATCCTGGAGTGGCACCAATTGTCCAGTGTCAGTGACAAGAGTGGGAAATACAAAAACACCGGGTGAATGTCCTGAATGGCCTTGTAGGTTAGAATAAGCTGGGCTTTTTTATTTTTTATTTTTAATGTAGGTGATTTGAGAACCACTGTCAGAATTCAGGTAAATTAAAGCTGGTTGAATCCCAGCTTCTTTTTTTTATTCAGTTTGTGCCTTTAAGCAATTTACTGAAACTTCCTGAGCCTCAGGTTCTTCCTCTTTAGTTTTTTAATGTTTATTTATTTATTTTGAGAGAGAGAGAGAGAGAGAGAGAGAGAGAGCGAGAGAGCACGATCAGGGGAAGGGCAGAGAGAGAGGGAGAGAGAGAGAGAAAGAATCCCAAGAAGGCTCCGTGCTGCTAGCACAGAGCCTGACACAGGGCCTGAAATCACGAACTGTGAGATCATGACTTGAGCCGAAACCAAGGGTTGGACGCTTTACGGATTGAGACACCCAGGCATCCCTTTTCCTCTTTAAATGAGGCCAGTGAAAGCCTCCTTAAAGCTTATGAGGATTTAAAACTTCAAATAAAATAGTGTATGTTCAACGAATGGCTACACAAATGACTGACGTTAGTTCCATAAATGATAGTTTGCTTCTTTTCAACTTCTTTTACTCTATGATACAATTGGTGCCTTGAAAATAGGTTTGCTGGAAAGTGAAACTCCAGGTGAGGATAGAGGAGGTAAATTGTACACAACCAGGGAAATAAGATGGCACAAATCAGGCCTGTGTGAGCACAGAGAAAAGGGAGGGTATCTGAGAGGTTTGTGGAGGTGGAAGGTTTGGAGCTCGATGGCACACTAGAGAGGATGGAGGCGAAGAAGAGGGAGCAATCCGTGACGATTCCTGAGCTTCTCATTTAGGCAAGTAGAACGTTTATTCTGAGCAGTGTCTACAGCTCTGGCCTGCAATGTCCTGGGGTGTCTCCAGTTTTCTTGCAGTGTGTGCAGAACTCTGAAAGTATTCCAGAATAAACGAACACTAACGTACTCCAAGCCTCTGTGTTTCAGTTAAAAGCATCCACATCCCCCAGTCACCCAGACCCAATGTCTAGCATCTGCCTTGACTCATTCTTCTCGTTCATTCCCCACGCCCGGTGATTCATCTGGTTTCAGTTTATTTCTTACAAAATACCTCCTCCACATCTTATTTCTTGGCCATTCTGACCATAACCTCTCAATTTTCAAGATCAGCACTTTTTACCCCTCCTCCGTCTCTCGGTTCCTAGCTGCCTCACTTCAGACTCTCCTCCAAATACCTCCCATTCTGCTTCTCTCCTTATTAGAACATAATCTGTTGCTAGTAACAAGACAAAAAACAAAACAAAACAAAACAAAACAAAACAAAACAAAACATTCCTGCTGTGCTCTTCCCAGCCAAGTTGATTTTCCCTCCTTGCAGTGGAATCCTGTACTTCATATCCACTCAGTTTTCTTTGCATCACAGAAGGTTCTGTCAAGTCTATGTTTGCCTCAGCAAAAATGCCCATTCCTCTGTATCAATTTTATTTTTTTAAAGTTCATTTATTATTTATTTTAAGAGAGAGAGAGAGAGAGAGAAAGTGAGTGGGGGGAGAGAGAGAGAGAGAGAGAGAGAGAGAGAGAGAGAGAGAGAGAATCCTAAGGAGGCTCCACACTGTCAGCAGAGAGCCTCATGTGGGGCTCCAACTCACAAACCATGAGATCATGCCCATGGCCAAAGTTGGACACTTAACCAACTGAGCAAACCCAGTGCCCCTCCTCTGTATACTTTGGAGAGCAAAACAGAGTTCTGGGAGTCATGTGAACCTAGGTTTGAATCCTGCTTTTGCCACCTGCTATGTGTGTGACCTTGAACAGGTCACATTTTAGCTTCTCATTTTTTCTAACATAGTGGGGTCTCCCTGAACTGTATTTAAAATGTCTTTCCCTCCCCAAGGAATCCCTTCCTCATTCCCTGTTCACTTTTCTCCATAGCATGTTCCAACTTTTATATACTGTATACAATATTTTTGTTTTTGTGGGTTTTTTGCTGTCAAGCTTACTAGAATGTAAGTTGTGCATGCAGAAGGCATTTATTTATTTTCTTCTCTGTGTATTTCCAGTAGCCAGTACAAGGTCTGGTATATAGGGGTTTCTCAGGAAATATTTGATGAATGAATAAATGAATGGGGAACTGTTTTATTATCTCCCACATCTCTTTTGAGGGTTAAGTGAAATCCCATATGTCAGAAGTGCAGTGAAGCGTGTGGTGCAGAGAAGAAGATGCTGGTTATCATAGCCCTCACCTTTTTTTTCTTTAAATGTTTGATTTATTTTTGAGAGAGAGAGAGAGCTTGAGCGGGAGAGGGGCAGAGAGAGAGGGAAGCAGAGGATCCGAAGTGGGCTCTGTGCTGATATCAGGGAGCCCAATGTGGGAGAACTGTGGGATCATGAGCTGTGAAATCATGACCTGGGCTGAAGTCCTATGCTCAACCAACTGAGACACCCAGGTGCCTTGGTCCTCACCTTTGATGACTATTCAAATCCTTTTTGCACTTGAGATTTTTCTTAAACAAGGACCAACTTGCCCAGAAAGTGTCCCTGACTACCCAGTTCTCCCATTTTTCCTGAATTTCCACTGTACTCAAAATCTGGCCTGTTACATTCTAACAAGGAATTATAATCTGTCCTGCTTATCACTCTCTTCTCGTGTGCATTTTCTTTAAAGTTAAAGAATAGAATCCCTATGCTTAAGAAAATACAAAACAAATACTAGCTGAACAAAAGTTGTAGATTGGTTAATATTATTTTATACAAATGTATGCTTCAGAGTGCTTTCAAAAACGAGGGACTGCGTCAAGTCATGTAGTTCAAGTTACTGAGCCATAGACCTATGTGTAATGTAGTAATAACAATAAGAGTTATTTGAGTAGTCTTTATTATATTAATTCAATTATTCCTCACAACAGCACATTGAGATGTGAATATTGTTGTCCCCATTTTTCAGGTAGAAGAAGAAGTCTAGTTTTATTGAGTTGTTTGCCCAGGCTCACAGAGTGACTAAATCAGAGAGCCCAGGATTAAGGCTCAGCCCTATTTGACCCCCAGAGACCATGCACTTCACCCCATGCAACAAATGTTTTACTTACCACAAGGGAAGAGGGAAAATGACCACAAATGGATCAGATTAATTTATTATCACTACTGGAAAAAGAAAACAAAACTATATGTGTAGTGGTGACTTATTAGTGTCATTTTTGTAGGACAGGGTAGAATTATAGAAGCCACTAATGTAAAAATAAAATGCTTCAGAGGAATGTCACTTTAAATTATATAGGAATATCAGAAAATGTGAGAATTTTTGGCCTAGACACTTGCTTATTCATTAGTCTATTCATTCAGTGTGGCACTGGGAATACAATGGTGAGCAAAAAAAGAGAGACAGCATCTCTGCTTTCATAGAGCTTACCACCTTAGAAGAGATCCATGTCAACCAAGGTGTTATATGCTAACAGCTGTATAATTTCATTAGGAATAGGTGCTTTGATGAAAAGCATCAGAGATTGATGTGATCAAACAAACAAAAACAACCTGGGGTCAGAGAAAACTAGTGAAGAAGTGATACTGAGATGAGATACCACAGATGAGTAGGATATGGTGCCTAAAGAGTGTGGAGATGAGTATTCCAACCAAAATGCAGTGAAAAGGAACAGAAGGTGTTTGGGAAGTGCAACAAAGGAAGGCTGCAAAGGTGGGCAGGGTTTATTTACACTCTAAGAGAAATGGGGGGGCCAGTCACAATGGTTTTAAGGAGGGTGACATGATCCAATTTGCATTTTGGAAAGAGCATTCTTATGCCACTCTAAAAATGGATTGGAGGGAGCCAAGATTGGATTTAGGGAGACTTTAGAAAGCTATGCTGGAATCCAGGAAAGTGGTGGTGATTGCTTAGTCTTTGGAGTTGGTGATGGAGGTAGAACAAAGCAGATACAAGAAATCAGAATTTTTAGGAAGGAAAATTGAGCAAATTGAGTAAAGGGTTGTGTGTAGGACCTGTAAAGGGTAAATCTAAGTTTTCAGCCTTGTGCAGTTAAGGAAGTGGACACGTGGGGGTGGTTTTCCTGAAAAGATACAGAAAAAATCAAGGTTTAGGGTAGGGTAAGATTATGGGCAGATCTTGGGGCACCCGGGTGGTTCAGTTGGTTAAGTGTCTGACTCTCGATTTCAGCTCAGGTTGTGATCTCGCGGTTTTGTGAGTTCAAGCCCCACATCGGGCTCAGTGCGGGCAGCACAGAGCCTGCTTGGGATTCTCTCTCTCCCTCTCTCTCTGCCCTCTCTCCACTCACACTGTTTCTGTCTCTCAAAAGAAAGAAAGAAAGAAAAAGAAAGAAAGAAAGAAAGAAAGAAAGAGAAAGAAAGAAGATGGGCAGATCTTGGGTTTCATTTTGAACATTTGCTGAATATTTCATACCTTTGACAACCAAAAGAATGGACTAACTTGCTAAGATATTCCAATCTTTTCACTTACAATTTGAGAAAACTCAGACCCAGAGACTGTCCAAGAACATATAGACTTGGGATTAAAAACCAAATTTCTTTTACCTACGAGCTTTTACCTATGAGCATTTTTCTAATAGGAAATCAGTTCCATACTTGTGAATGTTAGCAAGCAAGACTTGTTAAATATTTGAATATGATTCCAAGGAAGATTTGGCAATTTCCTGCCTTATAATTTAAATAATAACAGTAATGAAGAATAATCATTATGCTAATAGATACTATTTAATGAATATCTACTATGTGTTTAAATAGTTCACATATGAATTCTCAGCTGCATCAGTGGTGTTGTCCTAACCCTCAATTAAGGCAAAGAGATAACTGATAAAACCTTTCAAAGAGTTTACCAAACCTAAATCACAGAAAAAGCAGTGACACTCATTTCAGAAGCCCATACTAACTCTAGATCAAGTTTTCTTCATCTCATGACTTCCGTATATCTTCCATATATCCATATATGTAAAATATAGTTATTTCAACAAATTTCACTTCACAAGAATTTGTATCAGTTTTTTTTTTCATCTGCCCAGTTTTTCATTAATTTAGAACATTAATGAAAAGGGAAATGTGTGTATATATTTCATGAAGTTAGTGTGAAACTGCTTGCTTGTTATGTTGTTATTGGTGAAACTTCTTGATTATATCCTTTGTACTCTAGGCAGTGGTCAATTGGCAAACTACAGCCCTTAGGTAAAACTTGGCCTGCTAGCTATTTTTTTTTTTAAGTTATAGTGGAACATTGACATGCCTGCTCGATTATGAATTGCCAATGGCTGTTTTCACACCAAAACAGTAGAGTGGAGAAGTTGCTGCAGAGATCATGCCAGCAAAGCCAAAAATACGTACTATGTAGAAAAAGAAAAGAAAAGAGAAGGGGAGGAGAGCGGAGGGGAGTGGGGGGAAGGGGAGGGGGAAAGGCCCCTGAGTTGCCTCAGTCAGTTGAGCTTCCTGCTTCAGCTCAGGTCATGATCTCACAGCTCAGCTCCTGGGTTCCAGCCCCATGTCGGGTTCTTTGCTGACAGCTCAGAACCAGGAACCTGCTTCAGATTCTTTGTCTTCCTCTCTCTCTGTCCCTCCTCTGCTCAGGCTCTGTCTCTCTCAAAAGTAAATAAACATTAAAAAAAAAACATGTGCTGTGTGTCCCTTGCAGCCCAAATTTTCTGACCCTTCCTCTAGAGCAATCACTATTAGTTTTTTGTAGGGTCATCATTTGATACTGGGTTTATCAAGTACCTATCTCCAAGCCTGTGCCATTCCTTACTTTAAAGATCTTGATGGCATGATAAAGTTGATATATCAGATTATCAGGCTTTGATCTGTGTTTCTGATGTGTAATTATCCATGGAAATGGAAGGATAATAAATATACCACAACTAAGGAAATATTTTTTGTAAGATAAAGTCTCATAGTATGTTGTTATTATTTTGTAGATTTGTAAATTTTATTTAAAACCTGGAGAATAACCAAGGTCGAATTGGCCTTTGAAATTATTCAGTAATGAGCCCTACTAAGGAAAAGGCTTTCCAATGGAGCATTTGTGCAAATATACAATGTAAATATGTAATTATATAGTAAGCATTTATTTTTAAAAAAAATTAATATTAGGGGGTGCCTGGGTGTCTCAGTTGGTTAAGTATTTGACTCTTGATTTCAGCTCAGGTTTTGATCTCACAGTTCTTGGCTGATAGCACAGAGCCTGCTTGGGAGTCTCTCTCTCTCCCTTTCTCTCTGCTCCTCCCCTGCTTGTGTTCGCTCTCTCTAAAAATAAATAAATATTAAAAAAAAATGAATGTTAGGTGATAACTGCAAGTAAATTCTGTATTTTATTTTGATAATAGACTATAAAACCCAGAAAAAAAAGGCTGAAGAATATCTTACCCACTACGTAATGTAAGCAAATAATAGCAAGAAACTTTCCTTTGTTTTATTCACTATTTCTTAAAGTATGATTCATCTGCATCAGAAGATTTTAGAATATATTTCAAAAAGTGGCAACTCCTAGGCCCCCTTCTTCATCTACAAAATTGGAATCTTTAGAGGAAGGCTTAGGAATGTGCATTTTTAACAGTGCTGGGACTTTATTTTTATGTACACTGGAGTATGAGAACCTCTGATTTAGTTCAAATGCTGTCACCTGTCTGGTATAATATGTTAAAACAAGGGTCAATTTCCTTTATGTAAAAGGTCTTCTATTTCACTGGTAGCCCCAGTAAGCTATTGTTAAAATGCCAAGTATACATGGGATACAATAATAGACAATAAACTAGGTTAATTAAAGGGATGCTACTAAATTAGAAAGTGCCAATTGTAAAAGGTTTATTATGAATGTAATGATCTTGAAGCATTGGAAATAATTAGCATTTAAATTAAGTTGTAGGTTAGCCACATTAGGAAAGGTTAGCTTGCTATGAATTTTTATAAGGCTATGATGTTATTTATGGATTGATTTGAGCATTGACTATAACCTAATTTAATGAAAATTTTGGAATAATAAAATTGTCATTATTAACTGAGCTGCACATTAATTTTGAATTTTCTTGAACACATTTTCACTGGAATAACTATTAAAATTTATGCAAGATAAATATGGATGTAAAGTTATATATGTAATATTTAAGTAATTTTAATACTTTATTACTATGATTAGATATATTAAGCTACTCAAAAGGGTCATAGTCACCAGGAGTGTGGCTTTGTTTCAACTGTATTTTTTTCCTGAAATTTTAGGTTGTGTGTGTGGTAAATAATTTCAAAGGAAGACAACCAGAAAATGAACATCTCCACATGGATAACCTGGCACAGATGCCAATGATCAGCATTCCTCGCGTAGAAAGTCCTTTGGAAAAGGTAACATCTGTACAGGTGATTCATAATTTAAATTCTCAAATGTGATTGTTATCTAGAGCAAATGAATAATCATTCCTGTGAGTTCCTGCACAGTCATTTTTGATTTACTGAAACAAATTTAGAGTCTAATGTGGTATTTAGCAAGAGTTTAGTCACTGAAGACATCATCTTAGAAGAATGCATATCACATTGAAAATATTTCTTTGAATACCACATGCTAAGAGCTGAGTATACATGGAATATGTTCTGTACTTTGCCATAACTTTGAGATAAGGAACATTGTGCAATGGTCTCATACAGGGGGAAATTACAAGATATTTTTATTTGAGAATACATGCATTTTTTAAAAATATATTTCATTCTTTCCAGGCTCTATTTATGTGAGAAACTGCTTAGTATAATGCCTAGGACATAACAGTGCTCAATGAATTTTGTTGAATCTCATTATAGAAAGGTCTGGTCTCATTATAGAAAGGTCTAATGACAGGAAAACACCGATCAGGCCCTTCCTAATCAGGGAGGTACTGAAGGAAAGATTGGGAAGGATGGAGCCAGACCAGGCTGCTCTTTGAATGGCAAGTCAAGGCTTCATTAGACATGACAATGAACACAGAAGCCAAATAGTTAACAAAAATTTTTCTTGAGACTTTTTCTTGAGACTAATCTTGTGAACTAGAGAGGGTAATATTTCTTAAATGAGGATGCAGTTATGTACATTGGTAATTGGTTAAAAGATCGCTCCGAGGGTTACTAAAAGTAACCTCATCCCTGTCCATCTCCACATTTTGATCAATACATTAGATGAAGAGATCAATTACATGCTAATCAGGAGCTTAGATGGTGTCAATCAGCGAGGGATAATTAATACATCAGTTGAAAGAATAAAAGAGACTAGATGCAATTAACAACTAGAAATAAAGCACATGTTTTGTATTTGGATTTAAAAAGAAGTTCATGTAGGGTAGGGTACATCTAGGTTAGCTGCACAAACAAAAACAGGCTCAGAGGGTATTGTAGGTTACCATTCAGCATGTGTCAACCGCATGTTATTGCTGCCAAGTTATATGATCTTACGTTCCATTTAGGGAAAATAATATCTTGAATGAGAGCATTAATAGTTTGCTGTGCTCAGACTAACTTGGAATACTGCCCTTGGTGACATAGTTTTAAGGTGGGCATCATAAAATAGAGTAGTCGGTACTCAAATATTTGTTAAATGAGCAAATGAATGTGCCCAAGATGGTGGTGCGTGGACTCAAAGTCATGGATTATGAAAGCCTGTGGAAGGAGTAGAACATGATTAGAGAAAAAGAGAACTCATGGAAGACGCAGTAACTTTCCATATATATCTGAAGGACTACTGTATGGCAGAGGGATGTGATTTGTTCTGCTGGGGCCTCAGAGGTCACAATTAGGTTGAAAGAAAAGAAAGTGTAAGAAGACAAATAATTTCAAGAAAGAAGGAAAAACTTTCTAAAAATGGAATGGCTTCCTTAAGAGCAACGAAATTTCCTTTTATTATAAGGATCCAAGAACAGTTAAATAATCACTTGTCCATCGTACTATGGAGGGAATTCAAGCATCACAGTGAGGATAGAGGTTCTGGATCATCATTATAATAAAAATAATAGTAATAATAATAATAATTACAGTTTAATTATTCATCATGTGTCAGGTACTATGCAGATTGCTTATGTAAATTCAAGAAATATACTCCTATGCTCTGCAAATACAACTTCATTCCTTACAACAATTTTATTTTATTTTTTTTGATAAAGTTTTTTTTTTTAATATATGAAATTTATTGTCAAACCTTACAACAATTTTAAAGCTGGGTGTCATTATAGTGGCAAATGCTAATAGTCCAAAGAAGACCTCCTCCCCTTCTTTCTTTTAGTAACTGAATTCCCCAATCCAATTTTAGCTACATCCACCACTGCCCAGCCATAGTCTGTATTTCCCAGCTACCGTTGCAGTCAGACGTGACCGTGCAGCTAAGTTTAGAACAATGGGATGTAAGCAGAAGTGGTAAGCACAGCCTCTGGTTCGTGGCTTGAAGATTCTTGTCTCTGTCTCTTCTCCCTCTTGTCATCAAGTGGAAAAGGTAGTGACTGGAAGTAATCTTTAACTTTTTTAAATGACCAATCCATTTTGACAGTGTAGGTTCCTGGCTGAGCTCATGAAACAGTCCACATACACCCTCTAGATGGTTCTGAAAAAGAAATAAACTTCTTTCCTTTCTGAACCATTGGATTGCTTTCATCTCTTTTGCACAGTGGCTTAGCTGATGCCATATGACAATAAATGTCTCCATTGTAGAGTTACGGAAACTGAACTCCCAACTAGTTAAGCAGTTTGTAAAAGTCCACATCATTGATGAGCAACAAAACTATACAGTGTGACATTTCAAGATACATGTATTGTACAAAATTAGATCTTTTTTAGCTCAAGAAATAAAGATAGAAAGCAGAATTTAGGAAGAAATATTAGACATATTTGGAAGACAATGGTCTGGGTAACAATTAGGGTTCATTTTATATACCTCAGAAGTTAACTTGAACATTAATTACTGTCTTCTGTTGTTTAACATATTTATTTGTATAAGGATTCTTTGGTAGCCTCCTAGCATTGCCAAATATTCTGATACACCATTACATCCTTCTATATATACAGTGTATTATACATATATATATATATATACATATATATATATATAATTCCTGTTGTTGAATTTATGCAAATTGATTTTCATTTATAGTGATTTTTAAAATATGAAAGCAAAAATATTCTACTAGAATCTATGGATTTCAAGATATCCGTGTTTATTAACTTACTTCTTTCATTCAGTTTTTGTTTGTTTATGACAAACTCATGTGCTCTGTTTTTACCTTGGTAGTTAGGGAACAAACATGATTTGAATCTGATTCGGTTCTCCCCTTTGCCCACCGAAGTGCACTGTCACATGCCTTGCTGAGCTCCGACTCTGCTCCCCACTCTATTCCCCCTGTTTGCAGGCAGAATGCTGTGTGCACAGGGCAGGGTCTACTTTTGCGTCACACAGATCACACACAGGAAGATCATGAATCAAGGTGCTGGGGACACATCTCAGGCTTCCCTGTGGAGCTCTGCTGCTAAGAGGACATGTATTTGTGCTCACCAGCTGGAAAGGGAGGAAGGCCATCACTTAAGGAAGCCCATGATGTTTCTCTTTTACGATAAGGAGTACTTGGAGTAAATATACTGCTTTTCATCATAGCTCACGATGGGAAACAAGTGAATGCAAAATTCTTCCCAATAGTTTGATCTTAGGAATTGATAGTTGGAGGGTGGCATTAGGTTCTTAAAGCTGGCCCTCTGAGGAGAGAAAGGGAGTCCAGTATTAAAGTTCCAATTGCAGGCACGCCAGTCGTTTAAGCACTGTTACGCCAAGCTGTCGTTTTCTGCTTGTCATTTTGTGCGGGGAAGGCAAAGGGTTTCTTTCCTTTAGAAGTTGTGTACTTGTATAACCTCTTATGTTCAAAGTACATGTTTGATAAACTGTAAGCTACAGAGTAATTACAGCATGCCAGCATTCTTTATTTTTATGCCAGCGATTTATCCCTTAATTATAGGGAGTTTGTCATATAGTTAATTACCACAGTTTATGAGAAAAGTCATGATTTTTCTGAAAGCTAAGTAAATCTGAACATTCATTACATTTGGTTTTATGAAAAGAATTAATCATCTATGGAAGCTGGCCCATCATATCTCATAGTCCAGTAGATTTTTAAGTTGCCAGTAACTTCATTACCGCTGTTTATAATAGCAAATCATAAAAGTCTAGCTGTGTATCAGCCGTGAATGATTAAATCGATGTGGGTACATCCTACAATGGAATCTGGTGCATTATAATGCGGTGTTTCAGCTCACAGGTTCTGGAGGTAGACTAGCTGGGAATTTGGGACAATTTTGACCTTGGGCAGCTTATTCAAATACTCTGTGATTCAGTGTTCTTATTCCGCAAATGGTCATTGTGAGAGTTGAGCAAGCTTATAGTAAAGCACCGAGAACAGTGTCTGGAACCTGTAAAGCCCTTAACCATTGCCAGTGATAATTATTATTACCATTTAGCAGTTGAAATGGATAAGGTAAATCAAGATGTGGAAAGTTTTCTGATACATATTGTAAAGTTTATTTTTTAAGTTGATATATATATATAATGCATGTTATAAAATGTGTGTGTGTGTATAATGAAGCCAGTTATGCAAATTACCACACAAGATAATTTCTTTCTAGTAGGATCATTTATTTCTAGAAAAGAGCACATAGATGAGAGAGAGAAAAAGAGACTAGTTACCAACCTGAGAGCAATGCTTAAACCTAAGGAGGCAACTGAGAGAGTGGATCTGATTTCTTCTCTTTCTTTCTTTGCCTTCCTTCCTTCCTGCCTCCCTCCCTCCTTCCCTTTCTCCCTTCCTTTCCTTTTTCATTTGTTTTCTCTTTCTTTTTCTTTCTGTAATGAATAATTGTGTAACAAAAGCAATTACAACTTTTAAAAATTATCCAGTTTTCTTAAGTTGCTCTAAGGAGGTTCTGGTCATGCTTCCTCAGATTGACTACCACTGTGTTCAGATTTACCAAAGTCCCTTGGAAAGATTCCCTCAGAGCAATTTAAATCCTATGCTCCTTCCTCATGACTCACATGATCCTTTTTAAAGTGTTTGGTTTATTTTTATCTGCTGAATTGGGCATGGAGGCCTTGGTTGTGGCTCAGATGCCTTTGTGCCCTCATGCCCAGGGTCCGCTTCCTTTGGCACACCTGCAGCCAGCCATCCCCATTTCAGATACTGTATGTCCTGAGAAACCGCACACAAGCCCTGTGCATGTGCCTTTTATTTATGGGATCCACAAATTCACACCCCACCAAGGCCCCAGAAAACCAACTTTGTTCATAGGTTGCACCACCCTTTCCTTTCAGACTCATCCTTTTCTGGCTCCTTCTTTTGAGGGCCCATGCATCTCAAACAAAAGCTTCA